CTTTTAAATGGAAACACCCTTTTCTATAGGAGATAGACGAAAACTAATATCGGTGTCTGGAGCTCAATTTTCATCAAAAACATGATGGTGAAAACCGCACATCAATATCTGTTACCGTTTCGGAGTTACGGGGTGTTTTTCAAAAATGTGCATTTTTAACAAATCGCTGTAACTTTTTTGCTATGGAAAATTTAGTATTTCTATTAAAACATTTCCAAAGCACCTTTTTATGTAGAATTTAATGGTTTAAGTATATTTTTTTTAAATTAAAAATTTAAGAGTTATCAACAGAAAAATTGATTTTTTATTTGGGACACCCTCTATATTTTTAATTAAGTGAAAATAATTTAAAATTACCTTTCCAAAAATATATCACACTTGATATTTTGTTATAATCCCCTTCGAAATACAGAATATTTAAAAGTTCGCCACTTTTAACTAGTAGGCTTTGGACCCCTTATTGATGATGTGCCCTTAATGGAACTCGAAAACATATTTTTCCAGCAAGACGACGCACCGCCTCAGAACGCTGAAGTTATCAGCAAATTTTTGCAGCCAATTTCAAGAATAATTGAATAGCTAACCAAGATCCCAGGCGTTGGCCGTCGAGGCCGCCTGACTTAGTGCCCATGGATCTAATCCTATGGATATATTTGCGGAAGAATAAAGGTTTCTTATTCTTTCGTATAATCTAGATAAGAATTAGAAATACTTAGCAGTTATGAGAGGGTATCTTTCACCCCTACTGAGTTAATGAATTCCGCGAGAAATGTTCAAAAACGGCTCCGTCTGTCCATAACAGAAGACGGTCGATATGTCGAACACCTGTAGTAAAATCTCATGTCTTGGTTTGCCATTTATTTTTATTGTTATTAGATATAGCTTAAATGTGTTGATATTGGTTAAATATATTTTAAATTGTTATAAAATTCTGCATCTCTCATAGCAAATATTATTTGCGTTTTAATTGATTCTCACAGCTAGAATTTTCTTTGCATTACAGCCGGTGTCGTTCACAGCCTACTTATTTAAAGCGGGCGAATTTTTATATACTCTATATCTCGAAGAGGAATCGAGCAAAATATCAAGTGTGTTATATTTTTGGAAAGGTAATTTTAAATTATTTTCAATAAATTAAAAATATATAGGGTGTCCCATATAAAAAATCAAATTTTCTGTTGATAATTCTTAAATTATTAATTTTAAAAAAATTATACTTAAACCATTAAATTCTACGTAAAAAGGTGCTTTGGAAATGTTTTCATAAAAATACAAAATTTACCATAGCAAAAAAGTTACAGCGATTTGTTAAAAATGCATATTTTTAAAAAACACCTCGTAACTCAGAAACGGTAACAAATATCGATATGCGGTTTTCACCATCATGTTTTTGACAAAAATTGAGCTCCAGACACCGATATTAGTTTTTGTCTATTTCCTATAGAAAAGGGTGTTTCCATTTAAAAGCGTCGAATTTGACCCACCCTGTACAGGATGTCTGTAGAATATGCTGCCGAAGTTTCCGGAATACAATTCGGACCACCCTGTATACGTATAGAGAGAATCAACCTTAAAGCGAAAAAAAACTTCTCCAATTTTACCGTAATATTACCTCGGTAATATTCCCCTTTACATCACTACACACGCATGAACTCCTTAGTACATTTCCAAGCTTTTTGGAAAGATTGGTTGTCTTCTCGAGAGGTCTCCTACTCTGGTTATTACAAAATTATGTATGTATTTATAATGACTCGGTGTGTGAGATCGTAGTAAGGTAAAAAAAGACAACCTGTAGGAAAAAACGAACAGCGAGGTCGTTCTATTTTATCTCCACCTCGGTTTTTCAATTGGCACCGAAATATCAGATCTTTATCGCTCGTTCCGCTTAATGTCCGCGCCTCTTTTTATCGCCATTTTCCCTCGCAGCGCATATAAAACGATTTTACGATATTTCGCCGGCAATGAACGAACGACTAGGACGTCATAAACCCGGACGCCTTTATAAAATTTTACTGTATATCCCGCACTCGCACCATATAATTCGCCGTTAAATAAACCAACGACCTTACGTAATCCCGGTTCCCCTACTTTTGTCTCCCCCGTCTCCCCTAATTTTTATTACTCGACATCTCTAGCATACCTCTCCCTTCGTATTTCACGATCTCGTTTAATAGATCTTCGTTTTAATTATGACGTTGTTAATTTATTAGAGCTTTCTGTCGTTTATGAGGCGTTTAATTTTACGGCGGGAGGATTTTGCGTGACAAATATTAACGTGTGCGGTGATCTTTAGGGGTAGAAGTAACTATGAAAATGTTGAGTGAAAATGATAAAGTATTCTAAAATGATAGCTGAAATAAGTAAACACTTTTTGTATGAGAATATGCAACAAAAATATTAAATGTTTTAAAAAATATTGGGCAATCTCGGCACACAGTATTACTTAATAATTCGTGATTTAAAAATTTCTGAGAAACTTTTGGGTGTTTTAAAAACATGTGCTATCTCTCGTGAGGAGATTCCTCGCGTAAAAATAAGATTTCTTTTTCATATCCACGTAGGTCCGATTCTGCTTTGTTTCGTAGCTACAGGGTGTTAAAGTCTTATTTTTTTTCGATTTATTATAATTTTCTTCCAAGAACTTTTAGCGTTTCGAATGAAATTTTGAAGGTAAAAGTTACTATAAATGCGTTAAAAAAAAATGCGGTAAAAAAGTGTTAGCATATTCACCAGGGACGTGCATATGGGTTATCACTGGAATATTTTTCTAAAAAAGCATGTACGCCACTGACATTTTTGTTCTTGTGAGCGAAATAGTATAAGCAGTTTAATGCCGATTAAAAGTTGCCTTTTTATATTTTGTCGATTTCGGCCTCCTTGATGAGATAAACGCCATTTTATTAATTTGCCTTGATCCAAGTCTAATAACAACCTTTAAAAACATTTTAAAGTTTTAAACTCGGTTTTAAATTACTAACATAGTATAAGGAAACCTTTCCTTCTACTATGTTACCCATTGATCCGTCATCAAAAAATATGAAAATAAGTTCTTATAAACATGGGTATGGAAATATATAGTTTTAGACCCAAGTAGCAAAAAGAAGTTTTAAAAGGATTGAATTATTATATAACAGTCGAATAGCGTTGTCTTAAGGACTACTTGATTTAAGGGTTTGGTTTCGACCATTCTGTTTTTTAATAAAAGTTGTCATATTAAACTATTTTCTAGTGATTTTTACAACGTATCCTATAACGCATTAAACGATAATTTCTTTTAGTATGATATAACACTTAATAAGACAATGCTATATGATAACCAAACATATTATTTTATTAGACTCTTATACCCACCATGTAAAAGTTCTATAATATTCATATAACTAGTAGTCACGAGATCATATAATAGTTACTTAAACTTGTCTTATTAAAGTTGTATTACGTTGTATGATAGAATGTTTTATTGCGTTAACTACGGTGCTGTATACAACACTAGTTATATAGCCTTATATGATAAAATTGTGATTAACAAAATAAATTCGCTGTAATATCTGCATTATAAAACTGGTAATGTATAAAATAACCTCATTTTAAATTAAATGGTATACATAGTTATTTATTTTGTTATTGTTGTTGCAAAAGTAATATCTACGTACGAGTATAATCAATCACAGCTATTATAAATTCTGGACAAAGTTGGAAAAAAGTTAACATACGCAGTGGTAGTTATAAAGAGCATGTAAGAAAAAACTCGGCAAATATTAAATTACGGCAAATAATCCCGAGAATTCCCTGGGTTCCCAAAAGCCAAAATCTCTCGTGTTGTCTGGCTTCTTCAAAGTATTGTTGCCACGTTGATGTAAAAGTTTTACTGCAGTAATGTTTGTATTGTTTTGTTGTTGTTTTTCCAAGTCCTTAGGTTGCCGCTCACTCGTCGGGCATGCATGAAATGCATTGCGTGCATGAATCCATGAAAACCTGATCATGTTTGTTAGTTTAAATACTAATGAAATGAGATTTGGCAACATCCATTTGTCACAAATCTCAATATGTCAAAAATAGTTCTATAGTGCCTGGAAATTCTGCGTAATGATAGATATTTATCTTATACCGTTTTATTTTACAACAAAGACTTATTTAAGGGATTCGTTTATAATAAAATGGTTGCATTATAATTCGCCATGTTTAAGGCAGAATTTTTGTATGGCCTATGGCCGTCATTATATGAAACAAAATTGAAAATGTCAAAATAAATTGTAAAATGTTTTTTTGAGAACTATTTTGTGATAAGATTCCCACATACAGTAATAAACTGTTTAATTAAATTAAAAACAAGAATTTTTGAAAATTTTATGTTATTTTATTGTTTAAATTTATACGTAAACCTTAATCGAAATTAAAGCGCTTTAATTTTTGCCATATACATACCTATAATCTACCAGTAAAATATTCGGCTCAACAAAAATTGTCCCTACTTTTCAAACCCTATTAATGATTTTTTATATTACATATTTGTTGTACCTTCTGGCTCTACCCGCCATTTTCACCGTCGAGTAAAGTCTCCTTTTTAACAATCCACATCCTCTAGATTCATTTTACGACACGCTTAAAATATAATTTGCTCCTAATATTCTTCGGTAAAAAATAAAATACTATTTTACCTCGCTAAATGATCAAATGTTTTTATTGTTCTGTTTCTTAGATGTGACCACGTAACACACAATAAAACTAGTTTTATAATAGATATATAACGCTGTGTAAAATAGTTGCATAAGAGTTGTATACCCCTTTTATACTTAACTTCTATACTACTAAACGGTTGTATAAAAATGGGCCTTTTTTGGTTGTAAAGCTATCATATTACGGTCTTATAACACGTTATATGAATTGAGGTATCCTATAAAAATGATCACATAGCTGTTTATACAGCCTTTATAAAATAAAATTTGCTACTTGGGAGAGTTATAGAATATAATAATTGCCAGAATTCGAACCGAACTTACCGCTATTCGACTTGACATCGTCCGGCCTGTGCAGCTCCGGCTTGGAGGCCAGCATGCTGAGAGGATGCTGCGCGGGTAACGCTCCGCTCAATCCCAAAAGACTGGCGGCGGTGTTGGGCGGCGCACCCGCCAGGCTGGGGTGCGGCATCATGGGGATGGGAGGCGCGTGCGCGGGCAGTTGCTGCGCGTGCATCTGCTGGAGCAGTCTGGGCAGATCGGGCCTCTGTTGCTGCAAGAGAGAGAAAAATACATATTAGTGGTGCCAAAAATAGCCAGATTCCTGGAATATGTTACATATACTATATACAGATCTAGTACCTAGTTATAGAGGTGGAAATTCTAGTTCTTTGGGAGGAACTAGTTCCTTAGTTCTAGTTCCTCCAGAGGAATAGTTCTTTGAACTAGATCTTTAGTTCACAATAGTTCCCGACTAACATTGATATCCCCGTTGCTTGCTAATGGGTTTCGTTGTCAGTCAGAACTATTCACAGTATGATCTGTATAATTTTTATAATGTACGAAATATAACGAGACGTGTAATTGCGTATGTTAAAAACATATAGGTAAGTTTTATTGCAATTAAAAAAAAGAAATCCAAATCAGAGTTTAAAAACCTACATCACAAATCAATTGGAGCAAATAATACGAAAATTTTATGAAAAATAGCATTTTTCCTCACTTTAAGCTTTTTGTTTTTGTTTAAAAATTCAGAATATCTACTTCGTTCTTACTTTGTATTTTATTTCATAAATGCTGTCATTGCAATTGTAATTCATTTGTTATAAAGTTCAGCTTGGCATTCTGTAACATTTCTTTGTACAAATAATGTTGATAATTTTAACTTTTTATGATTTGTATCCGTATTTTATTGTTTTGTTAATGAGGAAGATGCATATATTTTATTTTTCGCCAGAAACTGTTCAATTTATTAGAATAAATATGTATAAATGCAAAAAAAAACTTTTTTCTTGAAAGCAGTACCACAATTTTATAAAACGGGCCATTAAAATACTATGGATAACGCAAACGACGCCTCGTGAATTGAAACGACATTCTATTGGTCTGACGTCACCCGCCGTTCTCGTCGACGCGCGATGGCCAGCAGCAGCCAGACGTGTTCCGCTTATGTACGTATTTAGGTGGCGTACTAAGACATTTTTGTTGCTTTTAGCGTTGATTGAAGGAGCTTTTAATGCTTTTTTGTGCAGTTATTATTTGTATGTGTTGTGTGTTCTGAAAATTTTTTAAGTAATGGCAGATTCCGGGTTTGTAAAAGCACAATCAGATAACTTTCAAAAGTCGATGCTTTTATGTTGGCTGCTTTTATAAATACAAATTCCCAATTTATTGGTGCTGAATTACGAGGAAAAAAACAGAGAGGTATTAAAAAAAACAGAGAGGTAACATTTATTCTTTGTAGTACTGAGGCATATTTAAGTATAAGTAGGTACCTACTGTTACGAACTATTATATAGTTATGAATTAATGTTATAAACTTATTTTTCAGATCAGGTAGGGAGACGTATGGAGATAATGCTGTAGGTTATGTAGAAGTGAAAAGAGACAAAAATATTTGTTTAGTACGTGGAAAAATAACTCCAGAGCATATATATATAATAAAAAGAAAGTTTTTTATATATATATTAATTGACACCCCCTTACCCCTGTTATTTTTAAAGATTGTTTTTTTACGAAATTATAGGAAATAAATTGTTTATCAGTAATGAAAATATTATACAAGGTGTCCCATAAGCAAACGCCAAAATTAAGATACTTTTTTAAGTGAAACACCCTATATATTTTTGGATTCTTCGGAAATTTCTAGATATTCTAGATATATTTCATGTATAATTCCTATACCTATCTTCAAATGTTTACAAAATATTGACAGTTGAAAAGCGAAAAATACCTACAATTTTCTGGACCACCTTTTTTGAGACACCCTGTATAACTAGAATTAATTTTAAAAGAGAGTATATGAAAAACCATACAACTTTTTTATTTAATGGTTTCTTCTAAAACTTGCAGTTAAGGCTGTATGTGGGTGCAAGATATAATGAATAACCCTGTACATTCAAATTTCTTATACCTATGTAAGACAATATACATAAATATATGAACTTACATCAAAATGATCTTCACAACAATAAATCGTAAAAATAGAGGATAATTTAACGTTTTCTTTTCATCTCTTCTCATGGCCTTGGACCATTTTTTGTTTTCGCTCATCCATTACTATTTATAAATATCACTAATTACTAATTATGTATTAATTAACACAAATAACTAAAATTTTGACTCGGATTCAACAGCGTTTAAAAGCAAACTGTGTAAAATAAACACGCGTCTGGCTCCACTCAACCAGAAGAACGGCGGGTGACGTCACAGCGGCAAGGCGCGGTAGAGAACGTTTGCCCGGCCATTTAAATTAACAATACTTAATTATTTTATATTAGAGGCATTTCTTAACCGATATCAACGATTTTTTTTGTTCAATTTGTAATTATATGAACTATTATTTAAAACCATCATTTAAAAACATGCATTTTCCTCATTGACTTTGTTCGTTTGACAAATATGTTTGACCAGCTTTGATTATTTTTTTATTTGCTATGTGATTCCATTACTTTCTTTTTTGTTCATTCCAAACTCTCCAGCAACAAATCTATGTTATCCTTCCAGCTCTACTAACTTCTTTCTTATTTTCGTCATTTTCAAAAAAAAATCAGGTAAAAAAACACATTTTTTAAGAGACTAAACGCCACGCTACATTTTTAAAGTGCTTCCAGGACTTTTATCTCATCCCTTCCTGGTTTCGTTATCGCACTCTATCCCATTCTCCTGACTAATATCTATCTTCATTTATTCTTCGCAGGATTCCGGCGACTTTCCTAGCTCAGAGAGAGGATATAAATTATTTATAACGGAGGAAATGGTTGTTGCTGAGGGATTATAAGAGGAAAAAGATTAATTTCAGCTAAGAAGGAATTTTACTTTAGTGAAGAAGAAGAAGTTTACTTTAGTGTTGGCTCGTATTTTATAAGTTAACCTACTAGAAAACTTTATTTTTTTGGTTCGTGAAAAGTTTTGAATAAAGGATATATTAATTAGAAGTCATTAAAAATGTTACAGAGCTACCGGTTAAAAGAAGGAAAAAATAAAAACAAATAGGAAAATTATTATTATTACTAATACAGAATAATCCGTTAGTATATTTTTTTAATGAGTTTGATCTCTAATTTCCTTTACATAATACAAATATGTATATACATACATATATATACTTATATATACTTTTATCATATATATCATATATATACTTTTATCATATATATCATATATATACTTTTTTTAATATCCTTTGGACGCTTGTACGCCGGTCTCATTGGCTATTTTTCTTGTACTCAGCGTACTTGGCAACTTGACCTAATACGAATACCTCTATAGCTTCATTTACTACAGGATTTTCCCCCTGCCTCTTTTTATTCATAACGGAACCAGTTTCGCGAAATTTTGCTACTAACTTGCGAACAATTTTGCCATAAAAGTGTTTGTTAGGATGGCGTTCATTGAATATCTGCGCAACCCGATTGCCACATTCACTATTTTTAAAATAAAGTTCGATTATTTCCACTTTTTCTGCAAGTGAGTACATCATAATTGTTAAAAAGTTTAACGGTATTGAGAAGAAGTTCAACGCACAAGTCACAGAACAGCTATCTAGCAACTACCGCACCTGATCGTTCAACCTTGTGGCAAGTGAAAAAATGCGAAAACATCTAGAAATGATAACAAAAAACAGCAAATTGGTCGAAGGAATTTATCCTAATAATTTACTCTGATAAATGTTTAAATAAACTTTTCAAATTTCAATCCTTTATATTTTCTCAAAGATCAGATGACAAAGACCGATTTTCAAAAACGAAGCGGGAAAGTATAGATAATAGAAAGCCCTTTTCATTGCGGTACCACTTGACCCCCCTTCCCATTTGAAAAAAATTGGGGGATGACACCCCCGCTCAAAGGGTTGAAGATTTTGCAATCATTTTTGGGGCAAAAGTTGTCCCCCTCACAAACAAAATTGACGTGTTTTTGAATTTTCTGAAAAAAAATTACCCTGGCCGTTATGCCTTGCGGAACGTTTTCGATGGGCCACCCTGTATACTATACATAATACTGATATACATATACATAATACTGATGCACCAGGTCTTGTAAAATTGTTTCTATTACTTTTCTTCGGGGCATTTTTATTCTAGTATGTTTATCTGATGGTAATTATCAAGAAACACATCGTTTTTTTGCTAAAAGTAGTTTTTATTGAGTTTTATCTCTAATTTTCTCTTTATATTATAGGAAGCTGATGCACCAGGTCTTGTAAAATTAAAGTATATTGTTATATTTAGGAGTAAAAATGATACTTGTCCATCAATTAATTACCTTAGTAAATTTTTCAAACTGCGACATAAAATTAAAATGAACTGAAATTGTTTTCCCTCGTATAATATATTAGAATTTTTAGAATTTAGAATGAGTGGGAGGGGGGTTAATCACTTCGACCTTACAGATCCATTGTGTCCCCCTTTCTTGAATCATAACTCATCATACAGTCCCAGAGCTTTGACAAAAGCCAGTATCTGGGACGGTTTTATAGAGGGTAGTTCTCCATCTCCAATATCAGTCGTACCAAAATTCATGGCACGAATGGTTGTCGTCTCGGCGCACTCAGTGATGAGGTGTACTGGTGTTTCACCATCTTCTCCACAGAATCTGCATTCGCCGTTTCTTCTTAGTTTCAATCTACTGAGGTGTTCATTGAGGAGACAGTGTCCTGTTAAAAACCCCGTGACAATCCGAAGATTGTTCTTACTCAGACCCAGGAAGATCTGTGATTTTTCTTGATCATAAGCCCTCAGAATGTGTCGTATAATATATTATACATGGAAACTTCCATTTTTCATTCAAAAAGAGATTCTAAAAAGTCAAATAATAAAGCTACAAATTACTTAAAAAATATCAGAATAAAACTTTAAAACACACTAAAATTTTAAGGTGGGGTGTGTGAACGAATAAAACAATAAATAATGTTACTTCTACCTGTTCAAACGTTTTCTCAATTACCTTCTAAAACACAATAAAACTGAGAATTTCTTATCTGTGTTTAGATTGCGTCGTAAGTCCTGTTATAATTACATTGTCAACATGTGGTTCGCGGTTGACTATGTAAAT